ATGCTGATCTGTTTCTGTTACTGTGATATCAAGGTTGAGAAAAAATTTTAAGTTCTGTGAATTTTTGTCCTCGGTTGAATCATTTTTGCTTTCCAAAATAGAGGGAGAGATATTTGCTTTTTAATACTAATAGTCAGTTTATAAGGTATAGAACCCAATTCTGTTATTTTGAACTGATGGCAGAACTGATTTATGAATATTACATCAATAAGATAAAAGCAATTATGGTGAATAACAAAGGACATTTGATTCTTACTCCTTGGTTTTGTGGAGGATAGTCAGAGTAGAAGAGACGGGAAAATAAATAGTAAGGGCTATTATCTATTTCCTTTAAAAATATGGATATACTACTGCACAGATATGTGGGGTTTTTTGAACAAATATAGAAGAGAGAGAGATTATTCCAGTTCTATTTCTGAATTTATGCTATGTGTCTTGGTCTCATCTTCTTTAAACCCTGTAGCTTTACATTTTCATTCATTTGGAGGCCTCCGTTGGTATATAAGCAGAAATGAAAAGAAGAGGTGAAAATCAAGGCAAATTTGCTACATTTTAGCAGTTCTGAAAAAAAGAAAATTTCAGTATTTCACTATTTAGAGAATACTCAGTAAGTATTCGCAATTGCCTGTGAATTCCAATCACCCAAACTTTTTCCTATTACCATGTCCTTTTCTCTAACTGAAAACCATTTAGACTCTATAACCTTTCTTTGCAGTTGTACTCCCATAAATATCCGCCTTCAGCCCCTGTCATTTCTACCTTTAAAAATTCTGCCTGTCCCACCAGAGCCAGCTTTAAGAGCTACTTGCTTAGTGAAGCCTCCCTAGTCACCACCAGCTTGGAGAGAACTCTTGCCCCCCTCAATTTATGCGAGTTTGGAAAATGTTGATATATGCTATTCTGATAATAAGGTCTTCTATGAACTATTGTTAAAAATGCAGATTCCAAGGACCCTCCCATAGAAATTCTAATCAAGATGTGGGGCCTGGGAATCACTATTGTGAGCAGTAGCCTCAGATGAATCTCATAGTCAAGCAAGGTTGGGAAACAATGACATTTTTACCTCTATCTCCCTTACCCAGCACAACACATATTGTCCTGTGTCATTATTTGTGTGCTGTTAACCTATTTTACAGGGTTGTAGGCTCCCTGAAGTTATAAGCACAAAGGATATGTCAATATTTTCCCTTTTTGGAAGAGGATACATAGCTTTCACGCTATACTAAAAAAACAAACAAACAGCATCTCAAACTAAGTTAAGAACCATTAGAGAATATGCTTTATACTCCTTGTTAGATTTTAAGCAATGAGTATCAGGAACTTTATTTATTACTGATATGTATTTCCCGGAGCACTTGGCAAGTGTTCCTCCCATAAGCAGTTGTATAGGTGGATTTTAGGATTGTGTAAAGCTGGGCTGAATTTTGTGTGCCCCAGTACCCCAAGTTAGTAAATTAAAGTTCTTGGGTTGCATATTCACCTCCTTCAGGCAGAAGAAGGTTGTTTAATTGTGCAATAGCCATGTATTTAAGCAATTTATTTAGTCTCCTTCCCCACTCAAAATTTTATCAACTCTAAAGAATAGAGAACATAATTGACGAACTCAAATTCCTTTCAAGTAATCCCTAAGCAAAGAAAAAAATAAAAATGATCCTCCCAGCTATCAGCAAGAAGCAATAGCTACCTGAAGAACCTAAATGAACCCTAGTGTTGTGTGGAGCCCTGGTGGCACAGTGGTTAAGAGCTACAGCTGCTGACCAAAAGGTCGGTAGTTCGAATTCACCCGTGCTCCCTGGAAACCCTATGGGGCAGTTCTACTCTGCCCTATAGGGTTGCTATGAGTCAGAATCCCTTGAGGGCAATGGGTTTGGTTTGGTTTTTCTGGGTGGTGGTTGTGTGCCATTGAGTCGATTCCGACTCATAGCGACCCTGTCGCACAGATTAGAACTGCCCCATAGGGTTTCCAATGCTCTAATCTTACAGAAGCAGACTGTCACATCTTTCTCCCAAGGAGCGGATGGTGGTTTCGAACTGCTCATGTTTCAGTTAGCAACCAGTTGCTTAATCACTATGACACCAGGGCTCCTTTCAACCCCAGTGTAGTCTTCCTAAAAAGGTCCATTCATATGGTACTTTCTGTATGTTATTAATTCATTTCCAATCAAAAAGGAAAAGTTTTCAGTGCCTCTGTGACCCAAGTGTAACTCTTGTCCCTTAAAAAAAATAAATAAATAAATGAGAAGGAAAAATAAGTCTACATAAAATATTAAGCAATTAACAAAATTTCCTTGGTTGGAACAGAAAAACTGTGTATGATACCATTCCTAACGGTTTGACTTCCCCAAGAATCGAGACTGAAGCAAATAGGGACAGAATAGAGGATCAAAGAGCATACTTATGCAAAGGTACCTTCAAAATATATATCACCAACCACAAAATAAAATCACCCAACTTGGTAGTATTTTAAAAAATCATCTAGAAACATTAGAAAAGAAACAAAGATTAGGAAAGTATCCCTGCAGAGTTACCAGTATTGTTTCATTAAAATAGATGAAATAGTTTAACTGTAACTGGTACTTACATATTTAAGTGAATTTTAATGGCTACTGAGAAAACGTCTACTATTTAACATGAGATTTAGTATGTCCATCTCATTAGTTAAAGTAACAGCAGTAACTAACCATAGTAATTATAACAAAGTGAAGAGGATGTTTGTGACACAAACACAAAGTTACCACGTTATAATTTTTGAATCCGAAATCTGCCCCCTTTTTAACAAAGTTGCTATATTTTAGCTCTGTTAGCCATTACAGAACAATTGTTCATCCCAATGGCTATAGACCAGAGGAGCAGAAGCCAAGAGCAATTTACTGTCTGAGTCTCTGGAAACTGCAGATCTTTCTGGCCCATTTTTATCCACCTCAAAATTCTTACATGATTTCTGGACCCTCCTGAAGCTTTGAGAAGGCTTAGAGCGGTAGTTCTCAACCCTCACTGAGCATCAGAATCACTTGGGGGAATATTAAAAAATACAGATACTTGACTACCACCTCCAGAAATTTCTGATTCATTTGGTCTGTGGTGGGACCCAGATTAAGTGTTTAGAAGATTCCCTGGAGCTTCTGATGTGTAACAAAAGGCTGAGAATCACTGGCTTAGAAGTGCTTTAATTCCACCCTAATTTCATATAAGTCCCAAGTAAGAATTTTGGGATGTCTTCAAGGGCTATAAGTAATAACACCCTACTTTAAATTTTTAAGATGGTATCAGAGTGGTCTGAAATAGTTTACCCTCTTTGTACCTGAGATTTCTAAACTCCAATATGTCCCAATCTGGCAAGCACATAGGTTATTATTCAACAACCAACTCATTAAGGATTTGACTATCTACACTGTCAGGAAATGCTTGACCACATACAAACCGTCACAGAGTCTGATACCAACAGATGTCATTTTTAAGCACCTGTCGGACTGAGCTCTGCCACTCAGCCCTGTAAATGGGAAGGAGTTTTAGTTTTCCAGAAGTAGTGAGTCAGTTGGAATGCTAGAAATGCACATTTGCCGCTTATGTTCCAGTCAAGCAAACCGTCTCCTGAGCTTCGATGTTGATATCTTGGTTGTGTTGGGAAGTCTATAAATGTCATTAGGATTAACCGGCAGCCTTGTTTATAGAATTTTATTAGAAGGAGTCAATTTCACATAATCAGCCAATAATAAAAAACGGTGTTTTTTTTTACCCTCTCATGAGTCTGCCACAGATTGACTTGTTAATACTAGAACTGTGTTTATAAGTTGGAAAATGTTAAAAACTCACTTAGAAAGCTGTGTCACATTTTCCCCAAGTGGGGAGTCTAAATCTGTGTTGTATTATAATGGAATAACTACAATGTTACACTGCTTAAAGCCAAACATGCCTGTGGGTTTCTACTCAAAAGTTGATATAAGCAAGCTGTGTTAGTATCATTACCTCAAGTGTGTTCATCATTTCTATCTATAGTAGAGTACGGAATCACGTACTGCCTGGCTGAAGGTCATGGGTTACACAGAGCTATTCAAATACTTTATTTCTGAGACAGCTGGATTATTCTCTGACCTGACTTTAGTGAGTGGGAGGATCATCTTCATCTTTATGCCTTCCTGCCCTTTCTAAAAATAGTAAGGGCCTTTAACAAGGAGATATTTTAAGCAGCTCATATTCACTTGTCTCATCAGGAGAAGCTTATTTCGGCCACTTGCATGTGTCAGAGTTGCATGTGTGCATAGTTAGACTTTGGAATAGTATTCCATGCTTCTCCACACCACTCATATAAGAAACTTGCAAAGATAAAGATACGGGATTACTAGCTGAGAGTTTTGGCTACGAGTCAGTGGGTAAACATAAAGTGAAGGGAAGACACTTTTTAGGAATGCGAATATGCTTCCGAAATCATCCATTTCAGACATTTGCACATCAGCCCTCAGCTTTTCGGATCTGTTTTCATAAAACATGGCTGTGATTTCGCTCCAGAGACTTCAGTGATCTTGCGGCTTTTAATAAATATTTATAGGAGCTACTGCCAGCCTGTGGATAAGGGAAACTAATGAGAAACTGTCATCCAAAATCGGAACAGCAAAAACCAAAGCAAATCAAACAAAAAAATCCAAAGCAAAACCGAAAAAGAACAACTCAAACAATCTGTGCTCACAAGAAGACTCGTAGAAAAATACCAAGATGTAACTTTGATTTAATAACAGGATTTATCAGCCACATGACTGGCATGCAGTGGGTACTTTGTATTTTTCTACTTTGAAAATATTAAAAAAAAAAAAGTGCAAATACATGTTATTCTGCACAACTGGGACCAAAAAAATATGAGTGTGAGAAATCACAGACTCTAAAAGCAAGATGGAATGTAAACAGGTAAACCCTGTTCCACAGTCATGTCATTCCAGTACAGTTGTACGTGGTACGCGTGTTTGCACCTCTAAGAAATTTCCATTTTTTCGCATCAAAAAATCCAGATATGAAGCTGAAGCTGCTTTCTTCGCCAACCTGAAGCTGTCTGATTTCAACATCATTGACACCCTTGGAGTTGGAGGTTTCGGACGAGTAGAACTGGTAGGTGATTGTTATTTTTACTGCTTTTGAACGCCTGTCTTCCTTTTTTATCTTTTTTGCCCTGGACGAACATTTCTCTCTTTTCTCTTGCCTTCTCTGTCATAATCAATTACCATAGTTCCTAAATCAGTACCAAATACCTTCGTATCGGCATGCCACAGTTTGCAACAGTTAAAGTGGGCTACTTTATGCAGCCAATAAAATAAACATGGAGTAAAACGAATTACTTTTTAGAAAACTTCCTCATAGTAAAAGAAAGTTAAACACATTTGCTTAGTGAATCATAAAGTACTTTTTATCCAGCTGATTCTTTGTAATTTATTTACTTCCTTAGTTCTGATTAGTGCACACTGACTTAATTATGCCCACTATCTACAATTATAATTAACTACATGTAAAGGGAATAACTACATATAAAGGGAAATGGGGAGCCCTGGTGGTGCAGTGGTTAAGTGCTCAGGCTGCTAAGCAAAAAGATTGACAGTTGGCATCCACCAGCCGTTCCTTGGAAACCCTATGGGGCAGTTCAGCTCTGTCCTATAGGGTCACTATTGGCTTGGTTTTTTGAAGGGAAATGGGAATCATATACAAATGTGGTATGTTTTAAGATCCTTACCACCGCTTTAAAAAAAAGAAGTAAATAGTTGTTGTGTAGTAATACTGTAATCCTAAAGTTGCAGGCACATGTTTAGATTACAGTGCGAATGGTTCAAATATTTTATACAGTTTATTGTACACACACTTTTAATATACACAATTAAGTGTTGAAGGTGATGACACTTTTGATACATTAAACACATTGCATGAATATGATATAAATAAGATGAATGCATACTCTGTTGTGCATTTGTTTGAAGTATAAATTTAAAAAGTGATTCACTGCAACAAAAATATGAGAAAAATGTATTCTGGTGACTGAGCTTGCCACATTCCAACCCTGTGTGGATATAAATGTTATTTGAAAATGCAGATGAGTTTCCACCCCTCTGCTGAACAGGGAGAGTCCCTGCTATCAGACACCAGTACAGTATGTGAGGAACTCCCTGAGACTGTGTACAGTGTAGTAAACAGTTACTGTTGCCATCAGCGGGCAGGAGAAATCCCCTTCCATACAAGTAGATTGGCCCGGCTCTATTTTTGATTTCAGTCCGTTTGTGCTTCAGTTGGGGTATCTGACTTTGGCAGGCCGGAAGAAGTTATTTACTTAAACATTGAACAGGAAGAGTTCAGAGCCATGCTGTGTTTCATTGAATTTGCATTATGTTTCCCTTAACATTGGTTAGAAGTACTACAGTAATACTACTTTTGACTTAAAAGTCAGCAGCGTGCCTCCGAGGATCTGTGTATTCTCAGAGTACTAAAAATCAAGAAAGGGCCTAGGAAAAAACTTGCTTCTCGTAATCCTGCATATTAATTCAGCCTTAGATTTATTTTTCAAGAACATTATCTTGCAAATGTCAGGTTGTACTTGTCTGACAGCTAATGAACATTTATTAAGAGCATTATACATTAACAGCTTTGTACTATGGGTGTCTGTACATACAGCAGGGCGGAGAATAGAACCCCCAGCCACGAGGGGTTTATTATCTGTCGTATTTGCTTATATCATTGTTTGTGTTAAACCCCTCTCTGAAAGAAGCAGTATAAGGGACAGAATTCCTCAGGGATTGATTTGGGGACTAGCTTTTTATAGTTTCACAAGTACTATTTTTTAACAACTGTGTAATAAAATTGCTGTTTCCTGTGACAAAAAAAAGAAAATCAACTTTACAACCTTTGTGGACTCCTAGAGGTCTGAGAACTTCAAGCTGTGAACCCATAAGTTACCACTGAGATATTTTATGTCATATCTGAATTTATTTAGGATTTTTGAAATATTGGAAATAGCTCACAGACACTGAAACTGCATTTGGGGACCTATAGTGGCCTGGGGGACTTCAAGCTAAACAAGTAAATGTGAAGCTGATAGTGGAAAACTTCTAAAAATTTCTCTCAAAAACATGTATGAGGTGGTAAAAACAACTAACCTCAAAATTAAGGAAGGTTCAGTGTGGGCATATGAAAGGTAATGCAGCTAAGAAAGACAAAATGTGTGCGTGTGTGTGTGTGTATGTCTGCATGTGTGTGTTCGAGTATATAAATATTTATATATAATCTCCATCCCAGGAGAGATACCGGATAGTTTAGCCTAGTTTTCTTCTTATGTATATTACATGTTACTCTTATATACAGATGTTTATAGACTTATGAAAACCATGACTCCAAGAACTAATTTAGGTTAAAAATACAGCCCAGTATACAAAAAGTTTAGTTACATAGATGAATAATAAATTCAGGTCATTACACACAGGGGTAAGAGATACATGTCTTTAACCTTTGAAATGGACATCATTTAGTGTGGTCTAGGACTTCCCAGAACACCAAGAATACCCTGGTTGTCTTCAGTATCCAATGTGGACTAGCCATTTCTGGGATCACTAATGCCCTAAAATCCACTGCACCATGTAAGTTTAAATCCCAGTTCTTACCAGTTATTCACTGCCTAATAATATTGATTACTGGTTATGAAAAATACTCTTCTCTGTGATTGTTCAGATTTTACATTCATTCGCTGATGCCGGAATTGGGAATTTGCCCTCAACACAGACTGTAATTACACATACTGTTGTCATAGCACACAATGTGCATCACCATGAAGACAGCGGTGACCACAGACGAGGCAATAGTGTTCTTTCAGAAAGGTATCACACATTCATGCTGAGGGAGAGAATCTAGGCAGAGCCAAGTTTAGTGACTTACTCATTAAAGTTATAAGCACTTCTATAAACATCTAGGTAACTCTCTTAATTTCCAAGCTATAGCTATAAAATAAGGAGATAGAGTTTACACATCACAAGTGAAAATTAGTCCCATTGTTTTATGATCATATCCCTAATTTACTCTGTTTTTGCTCTTGCCATAGGGGTTCCTGCTTTTCAGAATAGAATTGCACAAGTGAAAGACAAACTCCCTTTTAATCTGACAATGCTACATGGTGGTTGCTTTAAATATTTGATATTTAACCTATTTATTCAGCAATGTGAAACCTCCCATACCAGGGCACCGTATAAAGTATAGGATAAAGTATAGGAATAAATATATGGAAGACCTAATCTCTGTCTTCTTGAATTATATTCTTTCTACAACAGTTATTATGTATGTAATAAGCTGTCTTCTGGGAAATACAAAGTTTAATTGAAAACAGCCCCTGCCTTCAGGGACTCACAGTCTTCTGGGAGAGACAATCATGTAAATTAATAAGTAAACCCATATTTAGAGTATAAACAGCATGAAATCAGTACATAGGGGAGGAAGACTTCTTGGAGGAGGTGGCATTTCTAAATCAGAGACAGAGTTATAAATAACCTGAAGCATTATGGTACATGCTTGGTAAAATGAAAATACTTCAGGAACAAATTTTAATTAATAAATTAGTATTACTTACTAACCAAAATAATCATACATTTCATTTTGACCCTTCTTTATAATCTTCAAATTGCCTTCACATATATAATTTTGTGGAATGCACTACCCCCGGAGGATAATATATGTAAGTATCCTAAGGCCACATAGTTATGGGAAGAACGATTGTTATTGCCCATAACTACTTATTTTTCATCAGAAGCCTTTTCTGTGGTGCTGGCCTCTAAAACCAGAGCTGTAGCACAACGACCACCACCGACAGCCACCACAGAATCAAACAAGTGTTATTTCTTTGTCTAATGTACACTTCTGCTTTAAAAAAAACAATTATTCTAGAACCCAAGAAACTGAATTAGACATAAATCTAGAGTAGATGGAGTGCTGTGATTAGCCACTCTTCTCTGCTTCTGTCAAACTTCAGAGACCCACCCCCTCCTTCAAGTCTTTTGCTAGTTCTACTTTAGTGGAAAAATGTCTGTGGAGAAAAAACAATCAGACAGCGTAACATGGTAGCTAAAAGCTTTGAGCTCTGAAATTACACTTCATGGATTCAGATCTTACCGGCTGCATACATTAATCACTTAAACCTTCTGAGCCTCACTTTCCTTATCTGTAAAATGAGGATAATAATAGGATGTACCTCACAAGGTGGCAAGAATTAAATGAGTTAAAGCCCCCAAACAGTGCATCACGATAACTGCTGTCAATGTTATTGCTGTTATCATTTCTATTATTATTAAAAATATGCTATTGATGACTATATTTATCATCTCCAGCTATTCCCATAGTAAAGGACAAGATTTTACTCCTTTTTCTCCCATCGGTAGGCCAAAATCTGAGAGTACATGCATTTCTGCATTATAGGAAAGAGCCCTAGGTCTTCAAATGACCTTCAGTGATAGCTTCTATTAAATTTCACCAAACCCACTAAAGCTCCTCACTTTCTGATCTTTCATGAGTGGAGATGGGAAACAGTTTTCAATCTCCCCCACACTGAACCTTTGTGCACCTGAAATAGTCTGCCCTTATCCATTTCTCTTCTAAATTGTATAGCCCCACCTCTTAACCTCTAAATAGAAAATCGTTTTCAGTAGTGCAGACTGCTGAATCATATCCAGTTTCTCTACAGCCTTCTTAAACCATGGCACCTCAAATGGGCTTAATAAGGGCTTGGCTATTGCCAAGTGGAGTATAAAGGCTATCTCTCTCTCCTCCACTGCTGTAAACGAGGTTATAAATCCCACAACTGGATTGCCCAGGAGAGAGTAAAGTGATGGCAAGTTGCCAGAACCCTACTACCCTCAATCAACCATATTTGTGTAAAAGGGTCTATGTGCTGTACATAAAGACACACACGTACCAGCTCACGGCATTTTTGCCGGCTGCCTCATCACTGTACATTGCATACAAGCAGGCCTGGAGGGCTGTGTAAACCAACTGAAAAAGAGAAGAGAGACTAAGAGATGATTAAGCAAGAAATTAGGTGATAAACCCATTGCTCAGTCAACAGAGTTTTGTTTCATTATTACAAAAGGCGA